CCAACTAAAAAAAAAAAAAAGTTTGAATTCTTATAAAGTATCTTTCCTGACCACAATCGAATGAAGCCAAAAATCAGTAATATAAAAACTGAAAAATGCACAAATATGTGGTAATTAAACAACACATTATTTTATTTTATTTTTATTTTTTTGAGTTGGAGTCTCACTCTGTCACCCAGACTGGAGTGCGCAGTGGCCGCTCCCGGCCACCGAAGCCTCGACCTGCTGGGCTGCGGTGATCCTTCCGCCTCAGTCTTCCGAGTAGCTGGAACTACGGGCGTGCACTACCACGCCCGGCTAATTTTTTTGATTTATTGTAGAGGTGAGATCTCGTCTGCCCAGGCGGGTCTCGAACCCGCGGGCTCAGGCAATTCACTCACCTCAGCCTCCCAAAGGCGCGGGATTACAGGCTGAGCCACCGAGCCCGGCTTATTTTATTTTTATTAGAGACAGGATCTCACTCTGTTGCCAGGCTGGAGTGCAATGGCGAGATTATAGTTCATTGCTGCTTCAAACTCCCGAGCTCAAATGATCATCTAGTCTCAGTGTCCCAAGTAGCTGATACTACAGGTATGCACCATCATGACTTTCTTAAGCCATAAGTCAGAAAAAAAAAATCACAAAAGAAGTAAGAAAATACTTAGAGATGAATAGATGAAAACACAAACTGCCAAAGCTTGTAGGATGAAGTCAAGGCAATACGCAGAGGGAAATTTACAGCTTATAACTGCCCACATTTTTAAAAAAGAAATATCTCAAATCAATAAACTTTATACCTTATGGAACCAGAAAAAGAAGAGCAAATTAAACCAAAAGCTAACAGAAAGAAGGAAATAAAGATTACAGCAGAAATAAATAAAATAGATCATGGAAAAACAATAAAGAGATCAATGAAACCAAGTTTGCTCTTTGAAAAGATCGATTTGACAAACCTTTAGCCAGAATGGCACTAAAACAAGATAGAACATGCAAATAATCAAAATCAGAAATAAAAGCAAGGATATTACTACTGAGCAATTAAAAGTATAACAGAATACTATGAACAATTGTACACCAAAACCTAGATGAAATGAACAAATACATAGAACCATACACATTATGTAAATGAACTAAAACAGATTACCACAGTAATCAAAACTGTGGTACTGGCATAAGGACAGACATACAGGCCAATGGAACAGAACTGAGAGTTTATAAATGAGCCCATACGTATATGGCCAATTGATTTTTGACAAGGGTACCAAGTCCATTCAATGTAGGAGGAGTAGTCTCTTCAATAGATGGTGCTGTGACAGCTGGAGTTCCACAGGCAAAATAATGAAGCCTTGAGTGCTGGGCTCAAACGATCCTCTTGTCTCAGCCTCCTGAATAGCTGGAGCTACAGGTACATGCAATCATACCCGCCTAAGTTTTTATTTTTTGTAGAGATGAGGTCTCACTCTGTCACCCGGGTTGGTCTCGAACTCATGGCCTCCAGCAATCCTCCCACCTCAGCCTCCTAAAGTGCTGGGTTACAGTACTTTAATTGTAAAAGCAATTCTTAGCTCATGGCTCACACACTCACAGGCAGCTGGCCGTAGTTTGTCAAACTCTACAGTAGAAGAAAAAGAGAGAATGAGCATTATTCACATTCCTCACAAGTTCTAATGAGAAAAAGAGGCAACCTCAGGTAAGAGGACAGGAGAGAGGAAGGGAGAAGAACTCCCAAGTGCTGGTTCTTTTAAGTGATCAATAAACAGTCAAACAAGTTTAATTCAGAAAAAGAAAACATAAAAAATGAGTCAGAATAACAGTGGAGTCCTAATTACAGGAGAAAACTATGTACAATTACATACCAATAAAATTGAAAATCTTGTTGACGTGGGAGCAATAAAGGAGAAAATATGAATTTACAGATATGGGAGAAAAGTGTGCTTCAGTAAAAAATGACACAATAGCTGGGCTCGGTGGCTCAGCCTGTAATCCCACTCCTTTAGGAGGCTGAGGTGAGTGGATTGCCTGAGCCCGCGGGTTCGAGACCCGCCTGGGCAACTTGGCAAGACCTCATCTCTACAATAAATCAACAATTAGCTGGGCGTGGTAGCGCATGCCTGTAATTCCGGCTACTCGGAAGGCTGAGGCGGAAGGATCGCCCCAGCAGGCGAGGGTCCGGTAGCCGGGAGCGGCCACTGCACTCCAGTCTGGGTGACTGAGTGAGACGCCAACTCAAAAAAAAAAAAAAAAAATGACACATTGTAAAGAGCAGTAGATACCTGATAGTTTGCAAAAAATTCTTGTATAGAGACATGCAAATAAGATTTCTCAGATAGAGGTTTGTTGACTTCCTCATTGTGGAAGGAAAAAACTAGTTTTGTGTCCATTGAGAAATTCACTTCCACATTTCTTTTTTTTTTTGAGTTGGAGTCTCACTGTTGCCCAAACTGGAGTGCACTGGCCGCTCCCAGCCACCAGCCTCAACCTGCTGGACTCCGGCGATCCTTCTGCCTCAGCCTTCCAAGTAGCTGGAACTAGAGGCGCACGCTATCACGCCTGGCTAATTTTTTTTATTTATTGTAGAGATGAGGTCTCGCCTGCCCAGGCAGGTCTCGAACCCATGGGCTCAGGCAATACACTCACCTCAGCCTCCCAAAGGCACAGGATTACAGGCTGAGCCACCGAGCCTGGCTGCACATTTCTTTACTCCAAATAAATTTGTGTCTTCACCGTTGAACTGATGGTAACATCTTCCAGTTCCCTCTTGAGTTTAAAAAAAAATCTTTAACGTGTTCATTTTATATCTATCCATATGAAAGTTATTTCACTTTTGTTTATTGAAATTAGCCAAGGACAATAGAAGGGGAAACAATTACCTCCAAAAATTTCTGGGAACACGTTCACATCCTCAATGAGCTTTGAATCCCTGATCAGAAAGCAGGAGACAGTCCAATCTATTTTATGTTGACAGGGTTATTCTGACCACAGAATCTGGGAAGACAGCACCTGAAGGCCAAGCTAGCAGGCTCAAACCTGGCTGCAAGTGGAACAGCCTGGGGAGCTCCCTGGGAACACCAGTGCTGCCAGCCCCTCCGGACCATGAAGCACAAATCACAGGCCCTGGGAGCGGTCCTGATTGTCTGGGTTTAATGAGGTCCTCAGGCAGCTTTGAGTGCTACAGTTAGTCATGTTTTACAAATCAAAGAACCATGGTCACCCTTGGAACATGGCTACCAGCTGCTTCAGGCAGCCCCGGGGCAGGGCCAGTCCCTCCTTCTCCTCGTCCCCCCACCTTCCCCACTCTATTCTAAAAGTTACTCAGTGCACAAGGTCTTAAGAGGTGGACAAGTCAGGAAGGTGAAAGTAATGATGGCACTGCCCCCCAGTGGAGGAGCTTGGCAAGCACCTTATCAAACTGCTGGGCTCCGGTGATCCTTCACAGCCTTCCAAGTAGATGGAACTATAGGTGCACGCTACCACACCCGGCTAGTTTGATTTATTGTAGACAGGGTCTCGCCAAGTTGCCCAGGCTGGTCTCGAATCCACAGGCTCAGGCAATCCACTCACCTTGGCCTCTCAAAGTACTAGGATTACAGGCTAAGCCACTAAACCCAGCCTGGTCATTTTCTTAATCCAGCTCTAATTTCTCCCACTTACACACAGCCCAATCCTTCCCTCACCACTGCTAGACTCCAAAGAGCTCAGGAGGGGATAGGCTTCTTTAAGCAGAAGGCATACAGTGGCCTGACCCCACACACAAAAGTATAAACAAAAGTTCACTGTGCATAAATGAGGACAAAAGCTCTTCCTTACAGAAGAATGCTAATACATATAAAAGGAATGACTGAGCTAGAATATCAATAGGTGCTTAAGCTAGCAGGTGAAAAATGTGAACAGAATATTTAGCTCCAAAATATTTCTTCATAATTTAGTAATTACAAAGTGCAACTTGACAGATGCACTTTAATCTAAGGGCTCAAAGTAAACATCATCCAAAATAACAAATTCTGTGCCTCTCGACATAATGCACCAAGAACACAGCAACTCCCTTTGGTTTTCCTGAAGAAGCTAGATTTCTAACCACAAGGAAACAAGCCCAAACAGAACTTTCTACAAAATAATCGGCCAATACTTTTTAAATCTTGTGGCAAAAGAAAGGTTAAAGGGACATGGAAACTAGTTATGGTAATGCTGGACTAGGAAAAAACCACCAGCTGATAAAGGACATCACTGGGATAACTAGCAAATTTTGACTAGGTATTGTAGATTAGATGGTGTCAGATTCACCTCATTTTGATCATTGTAGTTATATAAATAAAATGTTCTTTTAGAAAATAGACATTGAGCTGGGAATGGTGGCTCATGCCAGCACTTTGAGAGGTAGAGGTGAGAGGATTTCCTGAGCCTAAGGGTTTGAGACTAGCCTGGGCAATTTGGTGAGACCACACATCTACAATAAATAAAATTAGCTGTGAGTGGTAGCCTGCACCTGTGGTTCCAGCTGCTTGTAAGGCTGAGGCAGGATTGCCTGAGCCCAGCAGGTCGAGGCTGTGGTGGCCATGAGCATTGCCACTGCACTCCAGTCTGGGAGACAGTGAAACTCCACTCAAATAAGTTTTTCACAAGCAAAAATGGCTTTCCAGGCTCACATTCAGACCACTCCTCAGGCTTTCTCCAACTGAAGTGTGGGGGACACTGCCCAGCGCTCATCTCAGTGTTGGGGAATCCGACTGACTGGGCAAGGCCCTTGCTCCTTCATGGAACTCACTCCGCACGGACCAGGTGAGGCAGCTCCAGCTCGAGTCCCCTTAAGAGAACTCCTGCCCTCAGCTCCACCCACACCCAAAGACACAGATGGCAGGCAAGATTGTTGTCCCAGGTTTATTGAAAATATTACGGCATCACAGAAAGACTCAAACAGCTCCTCGTGGTGTTTTGAAGTTCATCCCAACTGTCGGCTGAGTGACCTGCAGGTTGGACAGACTGCCAAAGTCCTGGAACAACAAAATGGATTCCGTGTGAGCACATCAGTAAGATCTGTGGTCAGAGCTCCTGCACTGCTGCCAGGCTGGGTGGACCAGCAGTAGCAGGCCTCCTCCCTGTCCCTGAAGCCACAGCAGTCTCAAGGGGGTCTCACTGAGATCTGAAGGACCCCTCCCTCTAACAGGGGCTCACATGTCAGTGCCTCCCACTTTCCTGGAGTGATCTTTCTTCCACACACCTGACCACATGGCATCCTTACCTATATTTGTCTGTGACTTTTACCCAACCAGTCATGCCACTTTTCTCCTTGATTTTCACAACCCCTTCACAACACACTAAAAAAAGAGCTTCTCAATTCTGGTACTCTTGATAGCTTGGGCTAGATATTCTTTGTTAGAGGGAGCTGTCTTGTGCATTGCAGAAAGACTGGCAGCACCCCTGGCCTCTACTCATTAGATGTCCCCTAGCCATGACAACCAAAAATGTGTCTAGGCACTGCCAAATATCCCCCTCTAAGGCAAAAATCTGTCCCTGCGAATATACAGCTCAACTTCCCTTTCAGAATATAAACTGAGTTTAGAGTAATCACTAATCCAGTTTGTTAAGTGCCCAAGCACACCGGGCACCAAGCAGTCTGCCCTAAGTGAGCTTAGGCTAGTCGATGGAGGAAAAGCCCCAAGTCTATCTGGAACTTAATGTGCTTTTTGATCCTCAGAAACCCATTTTACACTTCAATGTTTTTCTGAGTGAAAAGTACATTTTGTTCTTTGAATGTTATGAACATTAGTAGCCACAGAAATGGAAAAATGAAGCTGCTCAAAATCATCAGCAGTGCGATGGACTTCAAAGCCCATGCTTTCACCAAACCATATAAAAGGACTTAGACCAAATAGCGGCCCACACCAATAATCCCAGCATGATGAGAAGCCAAAATGCTTCTCAAGGTGGGGAGATCCCTTGGGCTCAGGAGACTGAGCCTACAGCCTGGTTAAGAGAGACAATGACTCAGAAAAGACAAAGATAAGCCACCAAAGAGAAACATCAAACACACTGGAGATGCTTGTGGACAAAGTAGTGCATGGTACGTATTCGGAAACTGCACATTTCTCAGCGGTTAGCACAGAGACAAAACAAAAGGAATGAACGTCTGAGGGAAACCAGGCAGAATGAAAAGAAAATAGGCCCCAAACAAAGGAGGCCATGTGAGCCAACACACAAGAAACCAAGAGAGAGAGGGTGTCCTGGAAGCCACAGAAGCAGCAGCAACTAGATTCGAGAATTATGACCTTGTTCCAAGCAAACTCAATGCACACAACTTTCAATAGCCAGCTACACCCACTTTGAAAACAGCTAGTTTAGTAATGGTTAGACACCTAGATGGGATTCCCAACTCTGCCACTTACTAGTTGTGTAAACCTGGTGTTAAGATGTTATTAGCAGATAATGAAAAACTGATGGTTCTTGACCAGGGAAGGAATACTTTAAAAATCCAGCAAACACTTACCAAAAGCTTCAGCATTTCCTTAGTGTCAGGATCTACTTCAATGATCTCCTGATCCAGGGCTGAGACCTAGAAAGAAGAGATAGGCCCAAAATATGAACCAATGAGGTTCTCTTTACTTCTCCTGCTTCTCTCCCCAGATTCTTAAATAAGCAGACCAAAAAAATTAAAAAAAACAAAAAAGAATGAGGGGGTGGGGCGAGGACAGCATCTTACACTCACAAGGTGAGCAGTCTGTTACAGTATGCAGGCCCCAGTGACCCGTTTGTCTGGTTTTACCTTCTTCCTATCCATGATTCAAAACCTTAAGAGGGTTTACACCTCAGCAATATTATGTAAGTATTGTAGCATTCCAGTCATTAGTAACAGAACTTTTACACAGTAGCAAATATCAACCCAGGAGACATGAGAGCAGTCATCAAACAAGCATCATCAAGCGCTCTGCTGTGGAAGATGGAATGGACCTAACTGGCCTCAACCGAGCAGAATGGAGACTGGCAAACAGGTAGGGAATTACGGGCAGCTACAGCTGGCTAAGGGTGCGTGGATAAAAAGCCTCCTCAGACCCAGCTGAGGTCCCCTTGGAAGCCAGAACAGGGCTCTCAGGAACCCGCAGCGGCATTACTTGGAGACAAGCCAGGAAGCTTACCTCTGGAACGTAATTGTCCCTCCTTTCTCTCTCCTCCTCCTGCAACTTGATGGAGATGCCTCTCACCGGGCCCCTCTGGATCCGCTTCATCAGATGCGTGACATAGCTACAAGCACACATGCCCCCGAAACAGTGAGAACACACCAACTCCCGCCGGTACCCCGGACAGGAGAGATGCCCGTTTCGGTTCTCCTGCACAGTGGAGGAGGGGTCTGCCATCCTGAGGTCGCCTACGCAGAGATCCGCCTACCCGAGCTCCCCTTGGCTCCGCTTACTCTATTCAACTCTCCTTCAAGCTTATCAAACAACCTTCCCCCCCAAAGCTTGTAGGACCCCTCGTACCCTTCATTTTCCTTCCTCCAGGTTCAAGTTCACAAAACATAACAGTACGTTGGCCTTTACCATACGCCAATCTTCCAAGATACATGACCAGGGGTTTTTTTTTTTGGCATCACGAGAAAGGCTTATTAAAGGGACACCGAAAGGCGCCAAGGCTTCAAAGTTAGGAGATCTGACGGCGGCTACCCCTCCCGACTAGTGTCGCCGCCAGTCGTTAACGCGAACATCAGCTCACCCCAACAAGAAGTCCCGCAGGCACGCGCAAGACCTCAGCTCTTCTCCGGAGCGTCAAGGAGACTCGCGCGGACACTGCCACCACGGCAGAGTCTCTTCCCGAGTCGGAGGACTGCAGAGCCCAACCACCCGCCCGCGGGGCCACGGCTTCCCGGCCTCCGCCGGGCCCTGGAGGCCGAGCGCAGCCTCAACTCACCCGGCTATCTTGTTGCGGAGCTTCTTGCTGGGAATAATGGCGATCTCCTCGCACACGCGCTTGTTCGTGTGGAAGTCGTTGCCCAGGCGCGTGTAGTACTTCTCAATGATGACCCGGGCCGCCTTCTTCACGGTTTTGGTTCGAACGCGGCCCTGCGGGTGCAAGGACGAAATCACTCACGAGCCAGCGAAGCTCCCGGGAAGAGCGCGGGGCCAAGTGCCCCAAGGAGAGAGGGCCGCGCTAGGCAGTGCTGGGCGCGGGGTTCAACGAGAAAGCCGCCGGCCCGCAGCGCTCCAGCCTGGCAGGGCTCCCAGCCTGCTCGGCCCAGAGCCTCCTCTTGCGGGCTGGAAGCTGCGGGAATCAGCAGATGGAGGACGATTGAGCTGAAGAGCGGCCCAAGGCCAAAACACCTACCATGTTGGCGGGTCCTTGGTAAAAGAGAAAACAGGAAGCACAAGAGAAGCCTATAAAGCGCTGGCCAGAAAGCCGCTTCCGCCTAAGCCAAGGGTGTGCTCTAAAGCCCACAGCGGCCCCTAGCGGAGCGGCGCGTAAGTGGAAGAATGTCTGGCCCCGCCCCCCGACGGGTGGGGTTCCTCCGTTTCTTCCGCTCCCACTTTTGGTCATCTTGGCCTAGCTTCTGTCTCCCCTCTATTGGTAACCGGATCGTCCGTTTAATGTGCTCTAGTCTAGTAGGGAAGCATCTCTTCCACACACGACTGGGAGAGGAGTCCTTGGGAAGACGAAGGAAGGCTACCCGGGGCCATTTTCCATGTTTCTCACTTTTCAGCAAGTAGGGGATGGCGCCCGCCTAGCCCAAGGGTCAGACTTGTCACCTCTAACTTGGCGGAAACTCGGGTGCGCCTGGGAGAGGCACATTTCTTCTGGGTTCAAACGTTTCCTTATCAGAGGGGCTTTCTCTCCAACGTATAGACATAGCTTCCTCACTATTCCTTGAAAGCTGCTCTTAAAAGTTCCTAACACGTGCCACGGGACTTGACTTAATTCTCTCAACTAGGAGTGAGTCCCACGACAGGATCATTTTGCTTAGCTATTCCCCAGTGCTTGAACGGTGCCTAGAGTGCATAGCAAGCTCTCAAATACTAAAATGAATAATGAAGGTTCCATTTCTGCAGAGCTCATGAAGCACCTCCTCCAGCCACCATCTTCAGCCTGTTCCCGCCATACCGGTCCTCAAACCAGGGCCTTCTGAAGTCACTAGGGCAGATTGCTCCCCATGGGCCTCATCAGCCTAGAGAGCGTCCTGCCTCCTTCCTCCAACTCCCCTCTCTGGGCTGAAGGCAGTCCTGAGTCCCCATCTGACCTAAGGAAAGGTTGGGCTGGCCCGCTTGGAGGAGTTGAGCAACTGACTCTTTCTGGGGACAGAAGCCCTCACCCTGAAAATGGCACCTGAACAAGGAATGGGAAGGGGGAGGGGGAGAGGGGAGGGAATAGATGCCTCGCTCTATGGAACAGGAGAACTCAAAAGGAGACCAAAGAAGTGGGGTCATAATCACCTGAGAGAGTTGCAGGAACAAGCTTTCAATCAAGCTGCTGCCTAAGTGAAAGTTCAGGCCTCTCATCTGAGGGTATTCCCTGACCCTGCCCAATAGTGAGCTTGCACCTCATAGAAGAGCTGCTTCAATATACAGGGTGCCCTGCACCTCAGACTAAATTGGAGCCTCCCAAATCAGCTCAATGACTGGGCACAGGCCCACTCTACTGAAAATAATCAGCAGCAGACCCTGTCACAAATCTGGGAGCCTGAGAAAATCCAGGTGATGAGGCTCTTGGAAGAACAGCAAAAAGCAAATAACTCGCTCTCAGATAGAAAATGGGTCAACAAAGGTGAGTACAAGAGGATGAGAAGCCTCCCAAGAAACAGGCGTATACCTGCAGAAGCTGAGAACAAATGGCTCCTGCTGACACCCAAGCACCTGCACCTCCAGCTCCAAGCTGGGTCTGAAGGCTGTGAGGAGCCCAGAGAAGCTAAAAATAGGAGGACTTTTCATTCTTGGGCTAGAAGCACCCACCCACTGAGGAGGCATCTCCAAAGTACATTTGACCGTGGAATTAACCAAGACGCACTCTCAGAGAGGGCCAGTCTCCCACATGGTCCCACGATTATTCCGGGCTGGAATCCCTTTCCTATCACAGGATATCCAAGGAAACGAGCTGTTACTCTGGAAACCTGTTGCCCCATTGCTCCCCTTGTTCCCAGATCTCAGACACAGAGACAAAATCAGAACTCTGCTGCAACGTGTTTATTATGTGCCCAAAAAACTACACCACAGCTTACTCCACACATCTGTAGAGAGTGCAGTCTTGCCTGCATATACTACAATGAGGTAGAGACTTCACACACAGCTTCACAAAACCCACAGAGTAGCTGGGATATGCAACAATGCAACGTCAGCTCAGCAGGAGGGGGGGGTTATGACACTGGTTCTTTGGCACACAGCTTCCCTAAGAGGGGCAAGTAGTTTTTCTTTAAAAAAAAAAAAAAAAGGAAAGAAAGAAAAAAGTCAAGTTTTCAAATTTCAGTAGCATTTCAGTCAACTGCAACTGTTGTTTTATACATTCTTCAAATGAAAGATATAAGGGAAGGGTACTTGCTCCCTCTAAGAGAAAGGGCTCCTGTGAGCCTTCATCTGCCCCCATCAAAAAGCAGCCCTTTTTAGCTCAGTTACAAAAGAAAAAGTCCTGTGACTTTGTGATTAAAAACTTCTATCAACCCCCCCCACATAAGTGCAACTTAAGAAGGTGCAATAAACCATTTAAAACTATATACAGCAGCCGCTCAAACACCGTTTATCCGGTCCAGTTTCAAATAAAACAAAAATTTTTTTTTCTTGGTTGCAAATACCTTGATTTGCAACTGTGAGAAACAGTGACCAGCAGTCCCCCAGACACAAATTTGCTATAATGTTAAAAGCTGCCAGGAAAGAAAAAAATCTCTTGTTCCAAACGACTTAAAAATTGTTTTAAGGAGTGTAAAAAGGAACCGGTAAAAACCCTCGAGCGTAAAATATGAAATATGATTTTGGTTTAAATGAAGAGCAAAGTCTCCTTGTTGTTTACAGTAAAAAACACCAGCTGAACACTCAGTTTATGCCGTTCAGGTGGGGGTTAAATAAATGGAAAGGCACTGTATGGCAACTGCAAGAATGAAACCAACGAGACCTGCGCGTCATCACCATCAGTATTGCAAGGAATGTAAAAAAGCGCTTTTAATAAATAAACCTAGATGTAGGCATCCGTGTCAATACCTTTCTGGACACGTAGTTTGTTTTTTTGTTTTGTTTTGTTTGTTTTTGCTTTTCATCGGCAAAATGAGGAACCAAAATCTGGGAAAACTACAGAGCCGCTTAGAGGGTGAGCCAGAAGGTCCTTGCCCTGGCACACCCCCTGAAAACAAAACCTGACAAAACTCATTGTGCATTAATTAGTGCAGAAACAAAGACAGATTCAGCAAGTGCAAAGGTGACTACAATTTTCCCTTGTCCTCGGGAAGCCAGTTCCCTGGGCGCCAGTGGCAGGGTGGTGCAGGCTGCTGCCTGACCTGCCAGCTCTGGGCGCCACAGGCCACTGGGCAAGACCAGCTCCTCTAGCTGGAGTCTCGGTTCTTCTGGTTCCGCATCAGGGGGCTGTGGTGGCGCAGGCCCTCCATGCTGTGCCGCCAGTGCCAGCAGCTCCGGCAGAAGTACTTGAAGCAGACCTGGGTCGGGGAAACAGAAAGAGGATGTCAAGCCTTGTGTGAGCACCAGCCAGGGAGCTGCTGCATCACCTGCTTGAAGAGGGGGTGGGAGACTCTGATAGCCTCTGTGGGGTTAGAAGAGATGGTCCCTGGAAGCCTGCTCACCCCAATGTAGAAGCCTGACTAACCACTCAAATGCGTTGTCTGTGTTTCTGTGGGTCGCCTTAAACACGTCTGGCTTCTAGTGTATACAGTGCCAGCTTCCTCTACACCTCCTACCACCACAGCTGCTCTCCTAGCCCCTTGCCTTTCTTACCTCTTACAGAGTAGTTATATCACATGGCAGCTGTGAGAGAACCTTTAAAGACACTGACTACAGATGTTAATGCTGGCAACATGACTTCCTCTTCCCATTAAGTAGAGGTGGCTGAGTAAGCACCTCTGGGTCCCACCTCTTGCCAGGCTGTGTCATCACAGGCAAGCCACTAACATCCGAGCAATTATCTGAAGATAGAGCTTACTTGTGAAAGACACTATCCACAAACACCTGCTAGAAGAGGCTGATCAGAGATACACTTGGTTCTTGGGCTTTACCTAACAATTCAAACTCACTTCAAACTTTCTCTTGAGAGCCTTAGTTTAATTACCAGCTACAGATTCCAAACCTGAGCAATAACATTACCATAGAAATAAAAAAAGCATCCACTAAGCATGGACTGCTAGTGTCATAAGAGGCCCCAAACTTCCCCTAACACTTGTCAAAGTGTGATGCAGACTAGCAACACTGGCACCAATTGGACACTTGTTAGAAACGCAGAATCTCAGGCTCCACCCTGAACCCACTGAATGAGAATCTGCAGTTAAACAAGATCATCAGGTGAGCTGTATGTACATTAGAGTCTGAGAAGTACTGCCTAGCACATCCAGATCTATGTTCTACCTGCTAGAAACATTCAAAAAAATAAAAGCTGCCACGTTGCTTTCTGCCTAATTCTGACACCTGTGGGTACAGCCCAGGTGCAAGTACCAAAGCAGTTCAGAGGTAAAGAAGGGACTCTGAGTAAAAAGAAATTAGTCTAGAAGACCTCAGGGTTAAAGCAGCAATACTTGGCTCATAGGTTCTGCTGACCACATCCATGAAGATGTCTATCATCTACAAAAACTCCACACGTCATAGCAACATCTCAGGCAAGGAGAAAGCCAAAATATCAAGACAATTCAACAGGGTTCTGAGTCAAGCTCTCTACAGTGCATCCCTAGTCTGACCCTCAGCAAGCATTACAGCTGCCTCCTCTATGCTCTCAGACAACATAAGGTATCTCAGAGCTCCAACATTCAATGTCATGAACTTGGTATAACTATTTTTAAATGAGGGCAGGGACTTCACAGACATCTTATTGCCTAGGAGACTCACCTGATCTCGACAGAAGAAAGGACCAGGCTGAGAACTGCAGATATGACACAGAGAATCTTCCAGGTAGGGGTCAATCTGTACCTGCACAAAAGCAAAATAGGAGGATGAAGTGCCTCTGTTCATCAGGAAATCAGTTGGGCTGGAAGAGAAGGGAACATTTTTGGGCCACCCATAGGAATGCAGGATGTCTGTCTGTTTTAAAGGAGGCCTTGAGAGCATTATGGGCAGAGTTCAGAAAGGAGTCCTGGAGGATACGCTCCATGCAGAGCCAGGCTGGCTGCCTCCAAGACAGGCAATCACATGCCTTACTGCCTGGTCTTCTCAGAGAACTATTCCTCAGCTCTGTATCACTTAACAAAAAGCAAGTGTTCAAAGACTTCAGGAAAGGCTGGATAATAGCAGGTCAGGCTGTTAACAATG